TATATATATATATATATATATATATATATATATATATATATATATATATATATATATATATATATATATATATATATATATATATATATATATATATATATATATATATATATATATATATATAAGAGGAACTTTTTAAGAGCATACAAAACGCCACATAATCCTGTCATGTCATTATATATAACAATTATTTACTTATTTTTATACTTTTTGTTTATATTAGATTCTATTTTTAATTGCATATTGATATGGAAACAAAAATCCTTATAAATTCACCTTAATTAATTTGGTAAGCTTCAAATAAGTAAAATAATTTTTGGTTATCAAAGTGAAATTCTAATAACGTTTATTGATATGGAAACTAATTTATATTACTCCGTAGTTTACTACATCGAATTAAATAGAAACAAATATGCAAATTAGTTCACTTATTAATTTGACACCCATTAAAAAATTAGTAAACTTCAAATAAGTAAATAATTAAAAATGAAATTAAAAATTATAACCAACATAAAGTATATATATTTTCACAAGTAAATATGTTTAGCTTAGCCAAATAAGTACCCCCCTCCGGTTCTGAAAGATCTTTACACTTTCCATTTTTAGCAGTACCAGAAAGATCTTTACACTTCCTTATTTGCCTTATTTGGCAAATAAATCTACACAAAAAGTGCCAAACAGTGTCAAACAGTGTTTATTTCCTTAAAAACTGTGAAGTCAAAGTGTCAAGATCTTTTGGAACCGGAGGGAGTAATTTTTTTTGGTTGTTTCTTTATTTTACACCTAAAATTCAAATATGCCTTCACTTTTGAAATAGATTCCTAATCCAAATTACAAAATGTTTATAGGTTTATGAATTCCTACTTTTTTAATAGAATGTTTTTAATTGGATTTATTTCAGTTCTAGATTAAATCAGATCAGACCAAACTTTGATAATTATAACAATAAGTCACATAAAAAACAGACATCTAATAGACCATATTAATTCATACCAAATCAAACCCGAAATTTTAATTCAATTAAAAACGTTCTTATTAATGAGTAAACTGTAAGATCTAACAATTAACAAATATATAATTTTTTTTATTATTGGGTTCATAACAATTATGTTTACTTGAGATGCTTATGTAGAAGACCAATTTAACTTTTTTTCATATAATTTTTTCATTGTTTCACAAATGGAATATATTTCACATATATTTTTCATGATTCAGAAGATTCCACATATTTAACCAGAATTCAATCAATTTCAGCAAAATAAGTTAGTTCTATTTACTTTAGTATCATCAAACAGACTCTATATTAGACTACGTTTATTTTTCTTTTAAATCACATTATATGTGATCCGATAGAAATTAAATTTCAAATTAGCTAAATTACATACTGCCCGTGCCCGTGCATCGCAATTAAATCACATTATATGTGATCCGATTGAAAGCTAGTACCAAATTTTAACATATAGTATCAAATTATATGTGATCCGATTAAAGTACGTCGATGGACATATTCATTATTTATGACTTAAGATAATATAATTTTCTATGAGACTAAAATGGAGTAAATCTATAGTTAATTACATCTGCGAATGAGTGAAACTATGAGACTAGAAAGGATATTTTTTTTCAAATGAGACTAGAAAGGACATATGCATAAGTTACAAGAGTAAAATATAATTTTCTCAATGAAATGTTAAAGCTAGGTATATAGTTATGACATAAGATAATACTATATCCGTCCCTTCAAACTTTGTTAACTTTTCTTTTTGGATGTCCCATCAACTTTGTCACTTTCCCTTTTAAGCAAATAATTTATGGTTCTAGTTAATTCTCTCTCCTCTGCACAAACCTCAACCACACAGTTTTTACTTTATTAATCCCCGTGTCGATCAAACTTAGCAAAGTTTTAAAGGACGAAGGTAGGATAAAATTGATCAGATAAAGGAGTTTTATTCGGATTAATGCTAATTAATTAATTAATTAATTAATTACGAAGTTAGGGTTGGGTTAAAAGTTATTACCGATATACTGCTAGGACTAACCCTGGTCGGGCAAAGTCACAAACGATTTGACGACTTTGTCTATTAAAAAACATGCGCACAACCCACTCCAAAACAGATAGAACAAACACATCCACAGACCAATGTGCGACGAAGAGCACCTCCAGCAACGGTTTCCGGCGACTATAGCTACTAGGAGGCCATTTCACCTACCAAATACACTCCCCAATCATCTTCTTCAATCTCTAGGGAACATTCCCTTGGAAATGTGGTCGGTACACCACGATGGCGGTTACAGATACGGTATCATCACTTCTAATCTGGCTGAGGTTTTCAACAGCGTGATGAAGAATGCCAGATATTTGCACATCACCGCTTTGGTCCAGGTTTCCTTTTACCGCATTAATGCTTATTTTGTTAATAGGCGTGAAAGCAGTAAAAGAAGAGTGACAGATGGCCACGACTACTCCCCACACATCACGGATATGATGGAAAAGAATAGAGAGAAGGCCAAACATCACACTGTCACTCCATTTGATATAGGCCGAGGGATATACCAAGTGGAAACGGGATGTGGTGGCCGAACGTTGGGAAAGGATGGGAGAAAACAAATTGTCCATCTGCGGCGGCGTACTTGCACTTGTAAAAAGATGGAAATATATAAGATTCCATGCTCTCATGTATTAGCCGTGTGCAGACAACGTAGTTTATCTTCTCATCCATTTGTGGATCCTTTTTTCTCATCTGACCAATACGCCGCCACATATCAAAGAGTCTTTAAACCCATTCCTGATCTTGATTATTGGTCGACTTACAATGGACCTGAAATTGTGCATGATCCATCCATGCTTCGTGCTAAGGGAAGACCTAAGTCCACACGTATTAAGAATGAGATGGATGAAGGTGGCAGAGAAACCGTAAGATGCGGAATATGTAAACAAACCAGTCATAATAGGGTCACATGTGCGAAGAGATCTTCAGGAGATGGTGGAGGTCCACTTCGTAGGTATTTATTTATTAAATTCTGTAACTCATAATAATGTGAATTATAAAATAATGATTTCAAATTATTTATTAATTACTGACTAACTACCTTTTCATTTTTTGTAGACACTACGGAGGTGTCAGCAGATCCAGGGCTGATTGATGACCAAGACAATGACCAAAACGATAAAGAAGACCATGAAAAGTTGTAGTCTCTCTATTATTGGACAAAATAATGTGCACCAAATTTTGTAGAAACACTTTACTTTTTAACGTATTTTCACCTGCAAAATAATGGATATTGTGTTATTAATACTTTTTATAATTTTATATCATTTTTACCAAATTGTGTTTCTCGCTTTGTATCAGTTTTACCAAAATATGTTTTGGATGTGTTCTGTAAGTCATCAAACGGTGAATTTAGGACGAAAAACGCAATTTTTTGCCACTGGGGCGCCCCTGACCGGCCCCGGTTGGGCTCAGACCGGCGCCGGTCTGAAAAAGAACGTTTGGGTGTTAACGTATTTGGGAAGGGGAAGTCGCCAAACGGTTTGGCGACTTATAAGTCGACATCCGGTTTGGCGACTTATAAGTCGCCATCCGGTTTGGCGACTTATAAGTCGCCATCCGGTTTGGCGACTTTCCCCGACCAGAGTTAAGCCCAACAGTATATTGGTAAATAGTTTTAACCCGACACTAATTCCGTAATTATTTAATTAATTAGCATTCATCCGGGAAAAAACTTCAGATAAAGATGGGATGTGTTGGGGAATATAGTCCCGCCCTGTTAGTGTTCAGGGGCCCAAGGCATCACCTAATACAGAACTCACTCGGTGAGGCCCATGTAGGCCTACCCGGCCCATCGACCCATTAAAGCCACCAGACGTTCGTCCCAAGAGATATGGGACATCAGGGGAGGCCTTTCACCTACGCGTGGATACATACGTCCCCAAAAGCCCATTCCCTTTGGGGCGGATATGTGCGAGATAACCCAAGGTGGGGCAAGGGTCATCCCCAAGGGGAACGCTCGGCCTCAGAACACCAGCCACTTAAGGTAGACAGCCACATTCCAAGGTACTTCTGTCAGACACCGTCCATACATACCCGAGAATCAACCTTGTAACTTGGCCCTGGAGGCAATGCGAGGTACACCGAAGGCAAGCTGGTGAAGAGGAACGTCCCCTATGAGCCCCCGGGGCCCAATCCTATGGATAACCGGGTACAAAGGTCCAGGGGACTCCACGACGTTCAGCTTCTGGGACTTGGGCAATCTACAGGGGGACGTTCGTCCCCACCCTTTGGTGGGAAGCCATGACAGAGGTGGTAGTCTACAAAGGGATGCTCGTCCCCATCCTTTGGCAGGAAGCCATGACACAAAAGCAATCTATAGGAGGACACTCGCCCCCACCCTTTCAATCATAGGAAGAGAAGAGGTTCGTCCCCAATAGGGGACGTTCGGCCTTAGGAGACGTACGTACCCTAGCGCTGGCGAGCAAACTTGGCTCAGGGGCAGCGCTAGACGCACGTCTCGCAGGACTCCGGACCCAGCAGGATACTGGAGTCAAACTCATGGGGACGAACGTCCCCACCCCTTGGCGGGAAGCCAATATCCCTAACGGGTGAAGTAGTATACTCCCGAACGGGCAATCTGCAAGTGACAAGGAGTATTAAATGCTGGAGCATGGGGCTCTCAAGTGGCATGGGGAACAACCAAATACATGGGAGCACCCCATACCCCCACCTACCCATAGGCAGTATAAATAAGAGCTATGCCTCCATGGCGGCTCCATATGTAAAGATCGACTTCTTCTCCTCCCCCTCTCCTTAACGAAATATACTCCATTAATGGGAGCTCAAGTATACATGTAATGTGAGGAGAATATAAATAAAATGAGCGGGCTTGGACGTTAGCCTAAAAAGTCTCGTGGTTTTCTCACTTTCCGGGTTTCCACGTAAAAATCGAGTGGTATACCAAATTATATCTATATCTATTAGTTTATGTTGGACTTAAACTCAACATGATGTTGTCTCAAATACCAAATGTATATGATTATAGTACACATACTTCGCTTGTACAATCAAACCATATATGCATGTTTGATCGAAGAAGTTTAACTATGTCTAACATAATTGTCAAACAAGAAATACATACACATGAATGCATATACTCAAATTAGTTATCTTTTCAAAAAAGTACGTACATCTTGATCTTTCAAGGACAATTTGGATTTTTTCCGGGGCCTCCATAATAAAAATAGCAGCCCCAAACGGGTTTGGTGGGCTGTAACAATATATTGTAGCAGTGAGGACGATCTGTGGAAACTTGAAGGTTTGATAAGGGAAACTTGTTGTTATTGCTATCAACCATTTGAAGATTTCGAAAATACGCAGCCTTCCCAAAGCGCTCATCAGCGAAGCGCCCACTCCCCATCTGGGTGGTAGTGTGTTCACCATTCATATTGCTATTCACTACTTCTCCACCAAATTGTACCATGCTTGCTCCTTTGCTAAGATTTGGAAACAAGGAAGATGGCCAGTAACCAAGCACATATTCACTAGCTCCAATCGCTAGCCACCAACGCCCAACATTAGAATCCTGTAATATAGTATGTATATATTACAACCATTTTTGGCGTACTGTACACATTCGACACAGTCTCCCGTGTACACAGACGAGTGATGTCTTTTTTAAACGAGTTGCTTGTGTACATACCCATTTTGTAACATTTACACTCGCCTGTGTATACAGACAATTATTGTTTTTCCTAAATGGGATGTCTGTGTACACAAGAGAATGTGTCAAATGTGTACACATTTTGTGTATCAATAGAATTTTTCATATAGTTGATGGTTTTTTCTGTTTGATTCATTGCAAATATGTTTCTATATATAGATATCCATTAACCTCACATTTAGGTGTTATTAACTCTCTTTATTTGGAGGAATTATTTGATTTTGGGTACCTCCCTCTCGAGGCCTCGAACCAACGATTGACAACAATGTTAAGTCATCCCCATGCCCAAATATCAAGTTATGAACTACCATACCAAGTTCTGGAGTATAAAATATGGGACTAGTACTACTCGTCATATAAACTTGCCCTTTTAAATCTCGTTCTGAAATTAATATAACATGAGAGTCAATTATTATTAAGCACTAATGAACAATTATATTTTTATAAGTCTAAAAAATGAGTATACGAACTCCAATATTGGTTTGTTCCAGAAAATGAGATAATAGGATGAAATCATTCGATCATGTGAAATCCTAACTTCAATATAAAAAAACAGTCCAATCAGATATATGAAGGGTTCATTGTGTCCCCAAATCACACAGAGCCATTTGTATAAAGTATATGTATTGCTCCCTTCAACCTATGTTAAGTTTCCTTATTTAGCCATCCCATGAAACATTATGTCATTGTTTTTTCATATGGAGTAATAAATACTACTACCTCCGTCCCGCTTTGATTGTCCCGTTTTACCTTATCGGTCCGACTCACTAAGATTGTCTCATACCAAATTTGGCAAAGTTGTGTGGCTCTAAATCATTCTTACTTTATTCTTACTTTATCAATTCAATATCAACCACATAAACCACTTTTTATTGATTTGCGTGCCGCTCTCTCTTGTCTCATTGTTAGCGGGACGGAGGGAGTACTATTTATGTGATTAAAATATTTTTTTGAAACTCTGCAAAAATCTGAATAACATAATTTTTACTTTCTTATTCCATGTGCACAACATATTTGATCAAGTTTTATGACAACGAAAGAATACAAAAGGATATTTTAACATGAAAAAAAAATTGTATAATTTTGTGATACTTATACTCTGTACATAAAAAGATGTTTTGAAGTATGAAATTTTGTGTTGGTGATTTTAGTGTCACGAGCCATTTTGTGTAATTGCAAATGACATGAGTGCCAACAGAGATTAGAACTATGATATAATACAAGAGTGTGGGATCGTTACAATATACACCACGCTTCAAAGAGGCAACGTCCTCGCTGGTCACGACTATGTTGGTCACGACCGACACCTTCAGGGCCCAAGCAATCACTCCATAGGCCAATTGTTACTGACCTAGCCCACACTTCGGAACTCAAGTTAGAACATGAGGTAGAACTCTCAGTAGACCAACTATGTGGTTGTAGACCGAGGTCTAGAGCGGTTGAGGCAGTTTTGTGTAGTTTTCCAGAAACTGCCACGGTTATTCATGAACGGGTTTTAACCACATACAATGGTTCAAATAGATATATATCTCCATAATTCGTATAGAGAAGGACAAGACAAGATATATAACATATCTTCATCACTTTGGCATTCAAATTAAAGAAAACAATTCATATACTCAGTAGTTAATACTATTGAATTTGTGCCTAGATTTTTGAGTGTCATCAAGGATTATCCTAGATAGAATTTCTTGTAACCCGGGCATAGGGAGAAATATCAATTCAGAAAGTGAACTTACATGATCCTTAAACAATCCAAGTACTCGATTATCAGCCCCTATACGACGACCCCAACAATCGAATTGATATTTTCTTTGTGATAATCATGAGTACCGTACTAGAGATGACATCCAAGTTCAGCGAATTGGAGAAGTTTCAAGGGATTGATTTTTGTAGATGGTAGAAGAAGATGCACTTCCTTCTCACGACTTTGAAGGTTGTGTACATGGTGAGCACTCTGATACCGGAAGTGACGGAAGATGAAACATTTGATCAAACTAGGAGGCGTAACAAGTGGGGGAACGATGACTACATATGTAGAGGTCACATTCTTAACGGAATGTCTGATGTGTTATTTGATATTTAGCAAAATGTTGAGAGTGTGAAGCAATTGTGGAATTCTCTTAATTTAAAATACATCGCCGAAGATGCTTCTAGTAAGAAGTTCGAGTGAATTTACTAATTATAAAATGGTTGACTCAAGGCCCGTTATGGAACAATACAATGAACTCCTTCGTGTATTTGATCAATTATGCTCCACAAGATAGGTATGATGAATCCTATATCATATCGAGTATAACTGACAAACTTTCAAGCTCTCGGAAGGATTTTAAACGTGCTTTAAAACAACAAAATGAGGAATTATCATTGGTTCAACTTGGGAGTCACTTGTGCATTAAGGAGTCTCTTCGTGCGCAAGAGAATGACAAAACTAAGGGTGAAGTTGAATCCGAGCAGCCCCATGCTCACTTGGTTGAGAAGAAGAAATGTAACCCAAACAATAAGGGGAAATGTAAGAAGCTAAGTGCAAGTATAAAGACCATGACAAATTCAACAAGGAACCGAACAGTTTGGTTTATTGGAGATGATATGTCAAAAGGTTGAGCATGTTAAGCGTCGTTCCCGTGTGAAACTGAACAAGGATGGTGCTGGAACGAGTAAGAGTGGACAAGGAAGGTCTATGGGCCTAGGTTCACTGAAAGGAGGTTAGTTCTTGACTAACTGTGATAATTCTGTCCAGAATTATGTATCACTCATTCTGGAATCCTTTTATGTACAAGATGATGATTGCGCATGATGGATTGACCCGGAGGCTACAAACCATGTGTGTAAGAATAAAGGATGGTTTGGAGACCTAGAACTAGTAGAGGTCGGTTCCTTCTAATGCATGTGAGATGAGTCAATGGAGCCAATCTTGAGAAAGAGTGTTGTTGTTTTAGAATTTACTTTTGGAAAAATAATTACGCTGTTTGATGTTTTGTATGTATCGAAGGTTTGAAAGAATCTTGTTTCGGGAAGTATGTTGAATAATTTAGGATTCAAAAAAGTGATTGAATCCGATAAGTATATTTTGTCCAAGCATGATGTGTTTGTTGGTTCTGGATATTTATCAAATCCCATGTTTCGTTTGAATGTTGTGAATATATTAAATTCTTGTGATCATTCTGTTGTTGTGGCATCTTCCATGTATGATTGTATGATTTGGCATGCTAGATTACCTCATTGCAATTTCATAAAAATGCATGAAATGTCTAAAGATTTTTAATTCCATCTTTTGATACTAATAGTGATAAGTGTAGGACTTGCATGCTTACTAAGATCACCAAACAACTGTTTCCTAATATTGAAAGGAATTCGACTATTTTGGATCTTGTAAATAGTGATCTGTCTGATTTTCACTCAACTCCTTCTCTTGGCAATAAGAAATATGTTGTTACTTTTATTGATGATTCAACTTGGTTTTGATGATCTATGTGTATATATTACTCACTAAGGATGAAGTTTTAGAGAAGTTTAAAGTGTATAAAGCCGAGGTTGGATTGGAATTGGATAATCCAGTTAAATGTCTTAGGACTGATCGGGGAGGAGAATATATGGGTCCTTGCTATTTTCAACCCGTTAAAAATATACATGAAACCATGGCTCCGTACACACCACAACAAAATGGTGCGGCCGAACGAAAAATCGAGTTTTAAAGGAAATGGTCAACTCCATGCTTTCCTACTGAGCCTGTTATTTTTTGAATAGGGTTCCAACTAAACGGAACAAGTGTGTTTATAGCCGATTTGATGCTTTAGACGCGGGTGTGTTTACATGTCTCTATGTTGATGTCATGCTGATTTTTGGAACGAACCAATATCGGGTTGATGAAACTAAAATATTGTTATCATCAAGGTTTTCCATGAAGGACACGAGGGAGGCGGGTGTGATCCTTGGAATAAGAATTAAACGGGTAAACAAAGGGATTGCTTTGACTTAAGCTCACTATGTTAAAAATATTCTCAAAAGATTTAATTATAGTGATTGTTCACCCATTAGTACTCCCATGGACCCTAATGTGAAGTTGATGCCTAATAAAGGAAAAACAATATCACAACTTGAGTACTCTCAAGCTATTGATTGTTTGATGTATGCAATGACAAGCACCTGACCCGATATTGCTTATGTCGTGGATAGGTTGAGCCGGTATATTAGTAATCCTGGTACTCAACATTGGCAAACGATGAAAAGAGTGTTCAAGTACTTAAAAGGGACCATGAATTATGAGTTGTGTTACATTGAGTATGATTCGGTGTTAGAGGGATATCCAGATCCGAGTTGGGTATCCAATGTAGAGGATCATTTTTCTACAAATGATTGGGTATTCTTGCTTGGGGAGGTTCCATTTCTTGGTCATTCAAGAAGCAAACTTGTATCACAAGTTTAACAATGGAATCTGAGTTTGTTGCGTTGGCTACCACCAGTAAAATGGAGGAGTACTTAAGAAATTTAATTTTTGAGATTCCATTATGGGCGAAACCGATGACACCTATTTCTATCTGTTGTGATAGTGTTGCCACTTTGGCTAAAGCATGCAGTCATGTTTATAGTGGTAAATCTAGACACTTGGGTGTTAGACATAGTATGATAAGAGAATTAATCATGAACAGTGTAATTTCGATGGAGTTAGTAAGATCACAACATAACTTGGTGGACCACTTGATCAAAAGCTTGGCCCAGGACTTAGTGTACAAGTCCGTGATAGGATGGGATTAAACTTCATTTAAATCCTTATTGGTGAGACACCCAATTCTCAGTAATACAACGTTAGAAGCTGAACTCAAAGAGGAAAGCTCACACTTATGGATTGGAACACACAATCA